TCTCTCTCTCTCTCTCTCTCTCTCTCTCTCTCTCTCTCTCTCTCTCTCTCTCTCTCTCTCTCTCTCTCTCTCTCCGATGCGGACAGTCCGTTGTCTCGCACCAACCCACGAAGTCGTCACCCCGCTTAGTCCTCCTGCACCCGTCATGTTCGTCCGCGTGCTACAGTCCGCCGTAGCCCCACGCGTCAGCCCCGCGCATTCGGCACCAGCTCGTCGGGTCCCTCGACTCCACTTCAACTCACCTCTTACTTTGCTCGTGAGCCTACCCTCATTGATCGCGCTACCCCGAGCTTCCAACAACTGGTTAAGAGAGCTATCTAATCGCGCTGCCAGAATTTATAGCGTGCATGCGTGAAGAACACGAAATTGCAAGGAAAATTGTAAGGACTTAGAAAGGGGATAAGGAGAGGGACCGCCTGGTACGTTCTGCATGGCTAGACCACGGCGTGGGGGACGTAACCACTCTCCACGCATCGATCTGAGCATGCAGGTCGCGGGGCCAACCAGGCACAGCAAAAAGGAAAGAGAGGGCGAGAAAGACGAAGCTCAAGATGAAAGATACAGTTACAATGGCGCCCGCCCAAAAATTACAGTTACTTGCAAGATTAACGGGACCGACTAATCAGAGCTCAGTTGTAGCCGCAAAAAGAAGCACGCAAGAAAGACACCGCACGACAAAAGAAATCTTGAATTCCTTAATTCCTAAATTCCTAGCTAATGTAAAAAGAAACACAAATTCTGAAAAGAAAATCCGAAGTTCCAAGAAGGGTCAAGGGCTCGACAAGATTCGAAAAGAAATAAAAAAAGAACGAAGCAAAATTCGCGCGCAACCTCTGCGCCTAAAACCCGACAATAGAACGAGAAAGAAGCGATGTCAAACATTATTATTCGTTCCTTTGTTAGCGCGACAGCCACTCAATCGGCCCTCTCAGGACTTGCTCGGCCCTGAACCCAGTCGTCCGAAAGAAGCGACGAAAGAGAAAAGACGAAAAAGCGAGGACACAGATGCGATTCTCCTTCGATCCTGATCTCCCGTAGTTGGCCCAACCTTCCCATCTTAGGACCCCTGATTGTCATCGCGCAGAACAGAAATTGGTTCGTCACATATGTGATGCCCAGGGGGTTCCAATCTTAAGCAAGCTCTTGCTTGCTTGAATCGCGACACGTATGAATTTCTCTAATCGATCAACACGCGGAGCTTTCTACGTGGCCACCAACCGTGCAAAAGAGTGTGGAAGTCATTCAGGGTGGTACACGTGGCTCTATCCTATAATTTTTCTCAGGATAAGCTCTCTTCAGTCCGAGGAGGGGATCGTGCGTGCCGTTGTCGTGGCACGTGCCAATCAACCATACATCAATGTCCTACGGGAAGGGGAAAGGGAAGGCGATACATGGGGGCATTGTGAGGGGGTGGCTAGTCGTAAGTGGGGGCTAGGAGCGTTCCAACCTACAGGTTTCCCGAGAAGGGCAATCTAATTACCGATGGGGGAGGCGGTGGAGGATGATGGGGAAGAGGAGGCATGAAGCGGTTGATGGCCGGAGATTGGAAAGCGGGAAGAAAGATGTAATGGATGGAGCGATGGATGCAGGGGAAACGAGGTTCTTTGCGATGGTGGGGGAGAGAGGCAACATAGTCGGGGTAGATAGTGGAGGGAGTGCGGCGAAGGGCGGTGCGAAAATTCTCGTAGTCTTCGCAGGCGGGGATCGTTCCTGATATAATACAATATATTTCTATATGGTTACATTCCCGCCAATCTGCACTAAACAGGAGAACATGGAGAAGAAAAGAATCTACTACAGAGCGGGTGGTAACATGCGGAAAGACGGTGACTAGGAGGCGGGTGGCGTAAAGGTGGTGGAAGAGGTGTGGACTTTGGAGGGAAGGGACACCATCCAACGGGGAACAGGGGTCTACTAGGGAGTTGGGTGAGCATCAGGAACTCAAGGGGACGACGAGAGAACGAACGGGCATGAAGCCAGATCGCCCTCATGCGGACGTAGGCGAAGGGCAGGTCGGGCAGAGGAACCAGACGAAGTCGGCGATTCGCTCCTTCGTCAACATCTTCCCAATTCCTCCGCTGCGGTTCCATCGTTTGCTTTGTCTTCCTTCGGGGGCTCCAGATCGAGCCACGGGTTTCCCAACAATAGATCCGGGGGGGACCATTCCTCAACCGGCCGTTTTCCCTCCACCTTTTCCAACCGTTTTCGCGCTCTAGCCCCTTCTTCTTCCTTGCTTCGTTCGGGCTCCTGACTCGGCCCACCGACCATCTCTTCTTCTTCTGCTGGCTCCTCTTCTTCCTCGTCTTCTTTTTCTTCCTGAATGTAATCAGGATCGTCACTATCTCTGCTCGATTCTTCGTCTTTTTTTTTTTCTTCTTCTTCTTCTTTTTCTTCTACTTCTTCTTCTTTGCATTCCTCCTCGCCTTCGTGTTCCTCTTGCCGAGCATTTGCTTTCCTGATGATGGGGTCCCACACAGTGAGATCGGTGACGTCGATCTCCAGAAAAAGAGCCTGGGATGGATAGACACAGTTATCACCGTCCAACTCAGAACACGTGGACCACAACAGGCGTGGCTCGAGTGTTCGGGAAAGCACGTGGGTGCCCGACTGATTGTCACACCGCGATAAGACATCCAGGGGCAGGTCGTCCACCAGCTGCGTTAGAAACTCCAGCATTTCGCTCGTAATTAGAGCAAGATTTCCGTCATCCACCTTTCCGAACAGTATTCCCAATAGATCCTTCTCCTTCGCCGTTCTCCAGGCCTGTACAATCAGCAGTTCCACTTCGTCGTCTGGAAGTTTTGGACCCTCTCCATACGGCGCCGGCTCAGACCAGCGGAACTCTACTTCCAACAAGCTGAAGACAAGCTCTGTGTACGCCTCCCACCAGTCGCTCCACTTTTCCTCGTTCAGTATCGGCACACTGATCTGCTTGACACAATAGGAGAGATAGGGGGCGTGAGCAGATAGAGGGTGGGGATGTTAGAGGAAAGGTCAAAGAGAGAAAGGCGGCGGCGACTCATCGGGGCGGCGCAAAGGGACGAAGCTCTGGTAACACGATCGGCGGTGAATCTTTGGAAGAGCGGAGCTGCAGATCGATGTCGTATGCAGGCACGACTGTATCCCTATGTCGAGCAAGGAGTGCTGTCCACGCAGCCTGGATCTCTTCGCCCCACGCGCATAAGGTTGAGAGGATGTCGGGATGGATCGCCGATGGCACCGCCGTAATATCCCCGATGAAGGAGATGGTGACCGTGATGTGACTGATGTCAGGATGGGACAGGCGCTGGAAGGCCGATATCTTGGCCAGAACATGTGTTGCTGCCGCTTGTGAAAACCGCAATTCCGTCGCTGCGTGGATTGCCACCGTACTGAAGAAAGCTGCAAATCGAAGAAGATCGGCACTAAAGCGTGGCCGTTGTACTTGCCGGATGGTACTAATCCGTCCTCTCGGGGTAAGCAGTTGCGCACTGATCACCTGCTCCACTGAAAAGCTTATGGCGATGGAGTTGAGGATGAAGCAAGAGAGACAGGAAGGGATGAGAGCGACAAAGAATCGCCATCCTCCTTTGTAGCGAAGGAGTAAGCACACGCGACTAGAGGTGGGGATGAAGGGAGAGGACGTAGATAGGACACATGGCGTACGATCCGTCGAGCCGATCGGCTTCCCGAAACCTCCGGCACGAGGCGCACAGTGTTCACTCCGTTCAGGCCGAGTTCGATCACACAAAATCGCCCGAAGAACCGTGGCGCTATCTTCCCATGGCGAGCACATTTCCTCACCGGCACCAGGTCCCCTAATTTATACAAGGGCAGTAGTCCTGCGTTCCCATTTCGGGCCTTGTAGCTACGGACGTGTCGGCCGTGGGCCAACTCAGTCATTTTGTGGCGCTTTCGGGCAAATCGGGGAAAGGACCGTTCCATCAGCTCCGCGTGCCGTTTGTGCTTCCCGAACCATGGCTCTTGTGGGCCGTCAATTCAATGAAGATTCATCGGGGGGGCTCGGTATCAAGACACAAGCTTTGCTATTGGTTCATAATTGGAAGGGGCTTAGGCCCGTCGATTCGTGAGGCATTCCCCGATGGACCGCTAGGATGTGATCTACAATATCGGGACAGGGCCTCGGCTCCCGTGCAGCGATATTTCGTCGCAGTGCTGTCTTTATCACCCAATTTGCATTTTCTACCAGGCCGTTAGACCGTGACAAGTGGGGCGCAGTGTTCCGAATGGCGACACCGTGTACGACCAGATTCCTTAAAACCTCCCCTCTGAATTCTTCCCTATTGTCGGTTAGGATTTCCTCTATGTCTTGATGCATCCCTAGAAACCGGTTGATGTATCGCGCAATTTCAGCTGCTTGTCGTGTACGACACGAATATGCCTCAATCCATTTCGAAAAGTGGTCTACGAATACCWGTAGGATTGAATACTAGCAGCTATTAGGTCCAGGGGGCACCACAATATCAGTAGTATCCATGCTAACCCTCTGAAACGACCGTTCAACTACCGTCGGTACTATYGATGTTGGCGGCTGGATCGACGCCTTGTWAGCAGCGCAGACCTGGCAATTCAYGACGATGAATTTCACATCATCGCGAATAATGGACCAGTACCACTCGTTCTTGTCGATTGCCGCTTCCGTGATCCGTACAGCAAAGTGGGCTGCCGTTTCCTCATGCGCCGTCTTTACCCAGTCATACCTCATGAACGGGTGCGGCACTACCATCCAAATACCGCTACCATCCTTCTTCCGTTTTTCTAATCGGCCCTCGTTCCAACGATAATCCCGAGCCCTTTCATTGACCCTCCTCCGGTCTTCCTTAGTGAAGGCCTGGAGAGGGTTTCCTACCAAGGTGGCAATTAGAGCGATGTCCGTCCATACCTTGGCCCTTCTAAACTCCTGGGTCCTTTTCAACCCTTCTCACGTGGCGTCAAGAAATCGAGCTTCAGTCGGGATCTTATCAGTCCGATACAAGGGACACAACCAAGGCTTGTTCCCATTTCTGTACTGGATGCAGACGTGTCAACCCGTCCGCGTTGCCGTGCCTCTTTCTCTCTCCGTGGATGATGTCGAAATCGTATTTCTGTAGGCGCACCGCCCACCGTCCAATCATACCCGTATAATTGGTGAGCTTTTTGAGAGCCAATAATAGCTCGTGATCGGTTACAAGGAGTAACTTCTGCCCGTACAAATACGGATGGAAGTGTTGAATTCCCCAGACTACAGCATAGCATTCACCTTGCGGGGCTGAATCGTTCCTTCGTTCGTCCGACACCATATGAGACGCGTACTCGATGACGTACTCTCGGCCGTCGTTCCCCACCTGCGCTAGAATAGCGGAAATCACCTCTGGCTGCCAATCCGTGATGAGAATAAACTGCTTCGTAGGGTCCGACCGGATCAAAATACATGTCGTCGCCAGAGCGCCTTTAGGGGTGGCGAAGGCCTGCTCACACTCTACATCCCAACTAAGGGGCTAGTCCTTTCGCAGCAGATTCGTCATAGGTCGCGCAATCGCAGCGAAACCTTTGATAAAACGATGATGGTACGATGCTTGTCCCAGAAAAGCTCGAACCTGCGTCACTGACGTGGGGACAGGAGCATCTTTCACCGCCGCGACTTCCCTTGAATCTGGTCGCAGTCCTCCATGTATCACCACATAACCCAAGAATGAAATTTTCGAGAGAAAAAACTCGTTTTTTTCGAGCGCGATCTAAAACCCAGCGGCTCTCAGAGCTCCTAGCGTCCACTCGATGTGCTGTGCATGCCCGTGATAGGTCTCCGAGTGGACGAGGATGTCGTCCATGTACACGATGACGCAAAAGTTAATCATCCCCTGAGTGAGCCGCGTCTTGTTGACGAATTACTAAAACGTCACGTTCATTGCCTGTTGAAACGTGGCAGGCGCGTTGCAATACCCATCAGACACCGGACCCACTGCCACGTGCTTTCAAGCAACACAAAAACCTTTTTCGGTCGATCTTCCTCCTTAACCATAATGTGATGGAAGCCGTGACGAATATCAAATTTACTAGAATAATTAGCACACCCAATCGCATCCAACAAATCATCAATCTTGGGAAGGGAGTACAAATCTTTGATCGTGATGTGATTTAGTTTGCAATAATCAATGCATATGTGAATCGACCCATTCTTTTTCAGCACCAATACTACTGGGAACGACCATGGCCCAGTGGCGGGTTCGATCCAACCATTGGCTTCCGTTTTTCGTTCTGCCAGGGAGTATCTGAAGGGCTTACAATGAATCGGGGGATGGTTTCCGGTTTGGATCTCGTGTTGTATGACTAACGACATTTCAATGTCTGTGTCCGTCAGACTAATCGCTCCTTTGTCTTCTTTAAAACTTTCTGCGATTAGATAATGGATCTCATTAGGCACATATTGGGGCACGTGCAACTCGTACAGCTAGTCCCATATCCGTACATCGATGTGTTTCGTACTCATCCGCTTGGTGTTTTCGGGCAGGGGCGCGAAAATAAACGAGTTGTCCGATTGCCAGGAGAATACCGTGGCCATCATCTGTGCATCCTGTTTTCGAATGGCCACATGTTTTTCCGGTGTTATTCCGTCTCGAATGTCCTACCAAGGCACTGGTTTCATCGCAATATTAATTCCGAGTCCGGTTTCGAGGCGCTCAGGGGGTTCCAAAGAATTGGTCTCCGCCCATAAGCGTATCAATCGTATCTCTTTTGGAGGCGTCAAAAGAGATCGTGGGAGATTTGTGATGTCGCAATAGTGCCTTTTGTCATTATACCGTGCAAGTAAACGGGAGATACCTCCGTACAGGTTTCGAGGGGGTTCTAAAGAGTCGACCATCCTCGAAATATGTACGAGGGGTTCACCCATAATCATAGTTTGCGCTCTTTGTAAACTCTGAGTAGTCAGGTTTAGCGATCTTGTATTTGCTCGTTGCATAGAGTAATAGGTACGCTGTTGTGCCAGCTCCAGGATCACTGGATCATCCTCGTCGCTGTTGTCCATGTCCTTTGACAGCTCCCCGTCATCTGCGGAATTATCCCAGGTGATCACGTGGAGGGTTTCCACCATTATGAAAGAAACTTACGGAGTTATGTTAGTGGTGGTACGAAGGGTAAATCTCTTCGATACAACATATGGTTTTCCTCCTGTATTTCGGAGGACAATCGATCGTCTCTCGAAATCCAGAATGGCTCTTAGGGCCACATGAGCGGGAAGGCCGAAAAGAACATCGTAAGTGTTAAGGTCTAAGACCACAACATCTCCCAAAGCATGTACCTTTCCTAATCGAAAAACAACATTGTTCATCCGTCCCACCGTTTTAATCTTCTCCTCATCTGCTGAAACAAGTTGGTCTTTTTCCGTAAGCATGATTAGATCGTTCTCCCTCCCTGCTTTTTCAACTACACGTAACGAGATAGCCAAAACAGCGGTTCCTGAATCGATAATGGCATTGTACGGGATTCCCCATATCTCGATGTCGCATTCGGCGGATTTCCATAGGATTGGTTTAATCTGTGGGAAGTGATCATCTTTCAGGATTAATCCTAACCGTATTGGATCTGAAGTTTTTGTTGCATTTTCATCTGGCGTGGGATTTTTCGTTTTTGTGCTCGCTGTTTGGGCAAGGACGAATCATTTTCGATTCGCCTTGCAATGTTGTAGCATCCGTTCATTGGCTTGTTCCGATATCGAAAGTAGATGTCCAATCGGCAGAGGAATCCGATCGTCCAAGGCTCGAACGATATTTAAAATATCGATCTTCCCAGTGACAAAAGTGGGTCCTCCCGACTCCATTTCCCCTGGAGAAGGTCGTCATTCCGCCACTTTTCTTTGTTCTGGCGTGGGTCTAATCGTTCCAATCATCCCAAGCCCCGGGTAGCCATGCGTTACATACTGATCTAACGGGATTAGTTCAGCCGCTT